TGCTAAATCCCATTTCTTAATTGTTACTCTTCTTCCTCTGGAAATATTCCCTGTTCCTGAGTTTAATCTATTCCTAGTAAATTTATTTAAACAGTACTGCTTATTTAAGTAACAAATGTAGTTGGTATTTAAATAGTTTGTCTATTTTGAAGTAGTACCCTATTTCCGTTTAATGTAATTGCTGTATTTAATCTTAGCTAGAGCTAATGCATGCCATGTGACAAACTCATTCATTGCTCGGTGTGGTGCAGAAAACCCAAGTCAGCGCTAATATGGGCCCCTGGAGGGAATTCTGTGGCCTCACTGAAAATGCAAAACATGTGCAACAGCGACGGGAAAGTCCTGCAGTGCTCCCGGCTACTGTAGGGGCCCTTAAAGTTCTCTTTAAGGTACTTTAAGTGTACTCCGAGAGTGATGCAGAGAGCGATTTCATGCTTGTTATACTTCTGTTGTAACTCCTTAAGCCAACGCAGAATCAATTCTTGTTCAAAACCCCAAAGCAGAAACCCAACAACAAATGCTGCGTGTACGCAGAGACATCTCCCTGCTGCTGCCCATCAGCCCTCTCCTGCCCCTTCCTTTGGAAGAATCAATACCTGAAACCCAGAAACTAATTATGTAGGCAAGAGCACGTATACCTGTTGTTGTTGATCAACTAATTATGTCATAACAGTGGAGCCACAGCTTTACGGTTTGTTTAGATTGGATGATAATACATGATTTTTATGGTGGTCAGGATTTTATAAATTTATCATTTGAGTTGGGAGAATAGTCTTGACCATTAAAAAAATGAGTCAAAGGTGACTTGAAAAAACCTTACTGATTTCTCTATAGACGATAAAGGGCAGTTCGGTTAGACTCTCTTAGAAATGCATTCTCTGCACTCTTTAGGTTTGCAGCTCAGTTCGTTCTACTGAACAAATAAATACTGTCATGTAGTGCAGATACTCATGTTTATTGGAACGGCTCGTCTAACCTGTTCTTTTTCTTCCAAAAGTGGGAGTATAGAAGTGATTTAATTTTTTAAAGCATCTGTTGGACTTCTCTAATAATTCCAAATTGTAAAGTTTATTACTTTTGTGGTGATATTTTTGCCCCGAGTTCTTTGGAATGCTTGTGGCTGTAGAGCTCTTCAGACACAGGCTCAGTGATGTGTGGGTCACTGGGGCTCAACAATGGCTTTTCTCCCTTATACATCATCTAATAGAGAAGATTGCTTCTCTTATTTATTATCGTAATATTTCATTTCCATCTCACCAGCCTGTGTCATATGTGAAAGCTACTAGTAACAGTAATTTTTAGCAGATAGCCCTCACCCGGCAATATATCACGGTAACCTTCGCACATCGCATAATTTAGAAAACAGTTTGAAATTTACGGCAGTGCTTTGTAACTCTGACTGATGACAATATATATTTATTATTAATAACAACATGTTTTTCTCAGTACTGTGCACCGACAGAGAAGAGTTAGATAGAACGAATCGCCCTCCGTTATGTACCATAAATCCCACAAATCATGTCGTGCATCTTCCACTTGTTTGCGTTGAGAAGGCATTGAGTGCTCCTTACCACAGTCTTCCTTGTTTTTCATGAGAGCCGTTTGGTGTTCTCTTCCCAGCCTTGCTGGGAGGATGGAGGGCGAGGGATCAGCCCGGTAGGTGCAGCGTGCCAGTGGAGAACCTGCAGCTCGTCTGGTTTTTGCAACACCAGACCTGTTTCGTCTCTCCCTTCCTCCCCGTGCCCTCCCGGGGATGCTGAGAGTGTTTATCTCCGGCAAGGCCAGAGCTGGGAAGGATGAGAGCTCACGACCACAGTATATATACCCCACAGATCCAAAGCAGGCTGTCAAAACGTGAAAATACCTCAATGATTTCCTCCTTAATTTTAACTGTCAGCCTCGAGATACCGCTTGCTCTCGAGCTACCGTGCACGATGTGTGCCAGCTCGCTTCTACTTATACTCTCGTTAAAATGTAAAGCAACAAAATTTTCCTGGCAGTCTCTGCAGAGTAGCGTAATACAACTTTCATTACGAGAAGGGGTTGAACATAATGTGACTTCTTAACAGCTGCAATAAGTGATGTGAAGTTATTAACATCTTTTCAAAACAAGTAAGGTTTGAGAGGTTATTTTTCATCTCTGTTCCTAAAAAATGGCATGTTATTTTAAGCAGATAACATTTTGTTTGCACTTAGCTGAAATAAGTAATTTTTTACATGAATTCTCTAGCTCCGTGTTGCTTTGTGAAATTAAGAAAACTTTAAAAACTAATGCTAAAATACACTCGAATGGCTGGATTTCAAAATGAAAATTTGGATTTTAAATTCTATATATGGAAATGATGGCTGCTAACAAGGGATTTTAGTTCACCCTTGTCCTTTTGCCATTAGATTTATGATTCCATGAGAATTGGCTATTCCGTCGTTTATTTTTCTGTCAAACTATTTGCTTCTTACTTGAGTATTCTGAAAAGATGAGGCAGGTTTGGTGCTTTTGAATTGCTTACTAAGGAACCACGTTCTTCAGAGACAGGTAACCCATTACAGATACAATTGGGAAATGAAGGAAAAAGAATTGAAACTGTCGGTGCTGAGGTGCACACAACGGTCGGTCTATTAGTAGAGTGAACAGAAAGGTTTTTAAAAGTTCAGTAGTCAACATTGGTAATTGAAGCCTTAATAATTGACTTTTTTTTTAAGTGTAGCTTAAAGTCCAAGAGGACAAATGCTGTCTGGTTTGCATATCTTGGCAGCTGAATTGGAGTTTCCATTGTAGTGTGATTAGCATCATTTTCACGGAAGTTAGGAGCAAAAGTTTGTAACCATAAAACGAGGCTGTAGCAGTGGCACTGTTTTTCCTACGTATCTATCCCGATGCTTATCACTTGTCCTGTTAGAAACAAGGTCGACATTATCTCTGGTTGAATGAATTCCTTAACACGCTATGAGGGGCCGTCAACTCAGAAATAGGATGGGACTATGGTATTTCATAAATATTGCCCACAATAGATGCCCAAATCCGCAGAGTTTCTGTAACGTACGCTCGTGCTGCATGAAGGCGGAGCTGGAGTAGCCCGTCCGAGGTGTGGGTTGGAGAGGCAGGAGTCGGTGAAGCAGCTCAGCTCTGCAGCCTTTCCAGAGATATTTCTCAAATCTTTTGCATCGATTATTGCGTTGTGCTTTCCAACTGTATGATTGCTGCATACAAAAGCAATTAGTTAACTTTTTTGTTTTCTGAAGGATTTAACGAGATGATTTTTTTTCCTGTGATTTACTCCTGCAAACATAAACCAGGCTATTGTCTTCCCGAGTGGAGGGTTTGGAATCAAAAATACAATTTGGAAGTGAAACGTTTTTTCAGCTGCGAGTAATATTAATAGTAATTGCCACTTAGTGATCTTTCGGTTGGTAGAAACAAACCATCAAAATGATAATTGTGGGATTCTCTGGGATTTAGATTGATTAACAAACCAGACAACCAAGTGGGCAGCGTACGGTGAGCCAGAACGCCGAGCTTATCTGGAATCCGTGGAGCAAAGCCCGTTTTATTCCATTTGCCCAAAGAATAAACATATGCCATGTCAGAAATAGAACAGTTGGAAACAATTGCTGCATGGGATGATGATGAAAAATAGCTGGGGAAAGATGTAAGGGTGATTAGACTTCTTTAAAGCCGGACGGATGACTTAAGGATGTAAATGGGGCCAGGCCGGCATTACGGTGCTGTCGCCGTCGTGTGCCGCAATGACAGGAAGGTGCACTTGATAACATCTTTCTCAGCATTCTCTTCATTAGGTGAAAGAAATTCAAAGACGTTTTAAATGGGAGAAAGAACTGTTTAAAGACGCCTCGTGAAATGAGCTGTTTAGAAAAATTGAGATAACTTAATTTGGGTTCCAGTGATACTCAGGAAGTTCGGTGTTGGCAATTGCCAGTCAGTTGAAATCTGTTCTATTCTTTAAAAGTGTCCTTTGAAATAGTGTGTTTTTATGTCTTGGAAATGCAAAATTTAAACTTTTCAGGGAACGTATTATCTGTAAAGAAATTGTGAATTACTTTTGGATCATTTCATTATAATCTCCCGACTCATTGCTTGATGTTTATTTCAAGATTTTCTCAATCTCAAATTTAGATTGAAATTGAAATGTGGACCGATTTTGAAATATCTGAACTAAGCTTAGGAAAGAACCTGTGGTGAGGGTGAGAAGCTGAAATAACTGCCTCAAAGCACACTCAAGCAAATTGTTCTTTTTATGTGGTTTGGGAGGACACGTATGACCTATCCTGTGTGGCAACCTATAGCCTCGGTCACGTGACATAATTCAATTAAAATAAGCTTTCCTTAGCTCAGAAAGAAAGTTCTTTCAGATCATTCATAAATTTTAATGGGAGTCACATTGTATTCAGGAGCTAATTTTCTTTTCCCATTATCTCCTGCCATTCTGTGATATGAGAACACTTTGTTCTCCACAACGGTCTTCACTCAGAGCTTTGGTTTCTCACAGAAGTAGTTAACTGGTAAAGACATTGGATCTTTGTAGATGTCTTTACCAAGGCATGCAGGGGAACTAACCTCGGACCCGAGGATGGGCTCTCTTCCGGCGTAACATCCCTCATTTCTGCTCTCTGCTCTTGCCGGAATGCACATTGACAGTTGCCGTTACAGATATGGTTTTAGATTCAGGAAATGTAGCTTCATAGAATCACTCATCCCACACTGTATTTTAACAATATGGGCTGTCTTAAACTTTAAAAATTTATAGTTGTGTAGAGTCTTTTTATTTTTAAATGTGCATGCTTGTCTCCTCTTTTATTATATTGTTTACCTGATGTCTGCCTTTCTTGAGTGTCAGTATTTAACATTAGGCTCCGCTTTCTTTCATTGACTTACAGGTGAAATATTTGACTGTGAGTTTTATTTTCTCTGTAATGATATGTGTTACAACAGAAAAAAACCCAATCTACGCCATTCTAACTGTTGGTTTCCCTTCTCTTCCTAGTTTGCTGTTTTGTGGTTCATAAGAGATGCCATGAGTTTGTTACCTTCTCTTGTCCTGGGGCTGACAAGGGACCCGACACGGACGTAAGTACAGTGACATTTAGTATGTTGCTTTTACACGTAGTTTTATGTTGTTACACCACACTGTGAGAACCAATTGCACACAATATCAATAGGCTCTTTATGATTGATAATTGTAGTCCCAGTCATTTGCAAGAGTTCCAAAGTGAATATTTATGGACTGTAAGATCTATTTTTGGTAAAAAAAGTAACGATGACCATGTGACCAAGAACAGTATCCCTCAGAACGTGACAGCCCTGAGGTGTTTATCCAAGGATGAAGTCAGCATTTTGTTTTTGTTTGCGTTACGTTGGATGTATTTGACATTAATGATTCCCAGGAAAGGCTGTGGCTTTTTCTGAGCTTTCTTTGTATCCGTCTTATCTCAAGGTGTATCTTCAGAGGTGACTCTGGTCCTTGTCCACTCTGCACACAAGGTGCTCCAATGAGGTGACGGTTCAATCTAGAGCCAGGTGGCTTATCTGCGATAGGGTTTTGAAACAATTATGTTCATGCTTGAGCAAGTACACCAGTCAGGATACACCCGTTCTGTCTTGCTCTGTCAATACTTCTATATAGACGTAGCATTTTTGGTCAACAACCAGTTTCTAACACATCTGCTGATGTGGTGAGACACATGTACGAGAATTTTGTGTCGCCCTGCTGAAATAATAAACTAATCTTGTTTGTTCACATAAAAATAACATTTCTTTGGGTTTTATAAATTCCGCTTTACAGTGAAGTAATTTAACATCTGCTTATGGGAACAATACATTCCAAGTGTTCTTTGTCTGAACGGCTCTGTTTTGTTTCTTATAACATATTCATGCTCTAGATTGTAGGCTATTATCTCCTCTGATGAAATGCACCAGAAGACTTTTCTTGCTAGTTTTTAATGAGCTTCTCATGAATTGTTTTAATATGCTAGCCGCGAGATCGATGAACAATATATGGGCAAGAGCCACAAGGGGCTTTTGGAAAATTTGAAATGTTAAAAAGTTTTCTTATTTTTAAATTTAAATGTGGGGAAATGTCAAAGAACTGAGAAGAATTTTTAAAACAGTTTGTTTTTCAAACGTTTCACATAATCTAAATTTAGGTCCATAAGAAAAATGCTTAAGTTAGGAGTGTAGTCGGCCTATTCAATTTCTCCTGTTCAGCTGACAGATATGGTCACGTCCAGAGAGCCAAGCAGGTCCTAGCTGACCTCTGTCGTACCTGTGGTTGGTCTTTCTCCACGGGTCACAGAGTTGAGCCAAGAGTGAGATCTGATGGTCTTGTGGCAGCATGCTGAAGTTGGTGACACGAGCACTGCTGTCCTCAACATCCATCTCTTCTCTTCCTAAATGTCCCCTGCCCCCTCCCCGCATAGGGAGAGGTGACCCTCTCATGAGCTGCTCCTGAGCAGTGCCTTTCCCCACGGATCGCTTGCCTGCAATTACTGCTACTTTGGCAACTGCTTACAGCAGAAGCAGCTTCACAGTACTCAAAATATCATTGCTAAAATCAACTGAATTATATTAACAATATAATTGTAAATGAAGTTCCATCTTTTTCGATATTCAGGTCTGGTAACTCATTAAATGGAATGAAGCCTTTCTTTTCACCTTTCCATCTTTTTCTATATTCAGGTCTGGTAACTCATTAAATGCTCAGTTATTTTGTTTGTATCTCTATCGCCAGCCGTCTTTGCTTTTTTTTCCTATTCCCTTTTTTGCACTTAGCTCCTCGTCTCAAATTTCCTTCATCTTTCATCAGCCGCTCCTGCTGCACTCCTGGTTGCTTGTTTCTGCTCCAGAGCCATGACACCCCAAAAGAGCTTTGCTCCAGCAGTGGGGTTCAGAGCATCTCCGCTCGGGGCCGTGCTACGTGAGGGTGCAGTCGCCAGGAGTTGAAGGACCTCCATAGATCAAGCCAGGGAGCAAGGTTCCAGAAGGAGGCCTACAGGGGAGCTGGGGAAGGACTTTTTACAAGGACATGGAGTGATAGGATGAGGGGGAATGGCTTTAAACTGGAAGAGGGCCGGATTAGATTAAACATTAGGAAGAAATTTTTCACTCTGAGGGCGGTGAGGCACTGGAACAGGTTGCCCAGAGAGGTTGTTGAGGCCCCATCCCTGGAGGTGTTCAAGGCCAGGCTGGACGTGGCCTTGGGCAACCTGGTCTAGTGGGAGGTGTCCCTGCCCATGGCAGGGGGGTTGGAACTCGATGGTCTTCAAGGTGCTTTCCAAGCTAAACCATTCTATGATTCTGTGATTCTATGATTCTGAGTCAGCACTCAAGGACGGAACATTTACATTGATTACCTGTGCAAAGAACGTGGATATTGCCAAAGGTTTATTAACTGTGTTGAAAGGGACTGGGGCGTAGGAATTGCCAGTGCAGCGACGTGTTTTTGACAGTTATTCAGGGCTGTACATAAAGCATCTCTTTCCACTTAGCACAGAGCACAGCTTTCTTGAAGAAAGTCACTTAACTGAGCTGAGGTCAATTTTTATGACAGAAGTCAAAGGAAGAGACTTTTGACAATAATGTAGTCGTTAGAGCACTCGCTTGGAAGCCAATGCAGAGGCTTAGGGGCATTCGCAGAGCCTCTCCGTAACGCGGGAGGGAAGCCAGTCCGCCGTCTGGCTTGGCTCATAGCGTTCCTTCGTGTGTTTTATCAAGGGAGATTCTGCTGTTAAAACAATTGTGAAGGCAGGAGCAAGAAACCAGAATTATTCTTCATACCTTCCCTGTTCTGAAAGTTCTTGAATTCTTTACGCTTTGAAGGGAAGCGTGGGGATTGGTTCTGTCTATATAGTGTAACAGTTAAAGCCGTCTTTTGGATTTGGAGTAGTGGATTTGAAATGCCTTAAGCTACAGAAGGGCTAAAATCCAGATCTCCCCTCTCTGGGTGAGTGTTCTCATCACTAAACTATCATGCAGAACACAGGTGGTAACAGCTACTCTCTCCCCATCTCCTGTAACCACAGCCACTACTTTTTGTTGCATTCCAGATGACTTTAGGTATAGTCGAGCCATTTGCATGCCACAGGATGGCTTTCAGGTGATTCTCTGACCGCGCACTGTGCTGTCTGCTTTTCCTAGAAACCCTCACCGCCGGTTTGTTAGGCAAAATGTGTGTATCAGGTAAGCGACTGTGGTTACCAAACTGAGCAAAGGTCACTGTCACCGCCACCAGGGACGAGCCAAGGTGGGCGCTAGTGCCAGATCGTCCTGCCCTGTGCGTCGGCAACTGTTTGAGCAGCGCCCAGGCCGGGAGAGACACGGCTTCGCTGCCATCAATGGCAAAATACCTGTTGAGCATCAAAGGGGCCCTAATAGCAACGACAGTCTGAACAATTGAAAGAGTATCTGTTTAATTACTCGTTTTCTAAATATAGTTCATACCTACGAGCAATACGTTGCTGATTTGCTTTGGTTGGTCCTAAAACACAAGTAGAATAAAACAATTAAATCTAGTTTGTTCTTAGTGCTCAGTTGTGATACAAGTTGTTAATTAAAGTTATCGTTGATTGACAATTTTAGTGGCGACACTCATGAGTAGGTCTTCTATATCTACAGTGGATGGTTTGACTCTTGAAAGCCTTCTTGATAATTTTTTTTAAAACATGGGTTCTTCAGGCTTTTTCTCCTAAACTTCCTAAATGAGAACACACATCTGTGTGGGAGACCACTTAATTTTATTGAGAATCTCTTCATCATTATAGAATCTGTTATGTGGCAGGTTGTTAATAGTCTTTAGTATAGCTGACTGCATTTCATGATTTGCCTTTTTGGCCTTGGAGATTAAATAAATCAGCCTAATGCCTTATTTTAGTATTTGGGTTACCAAATGATCATTTTCAATATTTACACAGGAGCGATATCGCAAAAACACTTTGAAGATTAAAAGCAAACAGAAAATAAATATGTTTTATTAAAATGGTGCTACATTAGTGGGTCCTATTACACAAAGAGGATTGTAGAATGTTATACTTTAATTTGCTGAAATGTGTGACTATAGCATCTACCCTTTGACAATTCAGTAACTTATTCCTATCCGAGTTAGTACAAGCTCTGAAATGTAGTGTGCTATAAAGCTTATCATAATATTTGGCAGAATTTTAAATATTAAAAAGCCCTTTTCTAAATTATGTCACGCAGATGCACAATTAATTTTCATACTCAAATTCTCCAGTGTATTTGCACGATGTAGCCTTTCCATTAATTGTAAGAGTAATATCATCATTAATAAAATGAAATTTTCTAAAGCAATAATTATAAATTATAATAATTATATATTATAGTATATCTTACATATTATAATAATTTTAAATGATCCTGCGCAGCGCTTTTAGCAAAAATGAGGCGATCCTTACAAACACACCATTAGAATAATTATCAGTTAAATTTGGTTTATTTAATAAAGAGAATCCGAAGTCTTAACTTCCAGGTAGGTGCCGCGCCGTGGGCGACAGTCAAGGCTGCAATGCAAAACGTTTCAGTGTACAAAACATTTCCCACTCAGAAGCGAAAGGGCCGGTGGCAGCCACGGGAGGGCATTTCTTGCCGGCGGCTCCTGCAGGTGAGTGCTGCCGGACGTCCCTGGGGAGCCCCGGCGTGTCCGGGACGTGATGGAGAGCGCTTATTTATAGATTTGTCTTGAGGCGAGCTGATAGGGCATTCGGGCGCCGCGCCGGCAGGGCTGCAGGGAGTTTCTGAGCCGTGGGGTTTATTAGTCCGTTAGGAAGACTCCAAAGGAGGGGAAACCCATAATTTTTAGAAATTTCGTTCTGACTTCCGTGAAAGCTGAATGTGTGCCTGTGGCTGCAGGGCGAGGTCGAAGTGTATCTGTAAAATAATGCTCTTTTGAAGGAGAGAAGTGAACTACTTTAAAAATAAATGGCGTACAGAGGGATTTCTGTCATGTCGTTATTTTCAAAGCTCTCTGTAACGTTTTTGGGCTGCAGCAATCCCTTGCAGGAAGGGGAGAGCTCCGCTGACGATTCTAGTAATTTCTCTAAATACATTTAACAGTT